AAACGGAACTTAAACACAGAAGGTTATGCAGGCCCGAACGATCCAAATAGTTGTTTTGAGTACAAACTCAAATCACTTCTAGGAACCTCACATCCTTATTATTTCTAGGCAACTATATATAGAATATATTTTCCCGGCAGCTTTTAATAAAATACAGCATTAAAACGAGAAATGCCAGGCAAGTATTTAAATGTAAAACAATAATTTATTTCTTAATCATTTCAATTGTGTGTTAAGAAATGATGGGTGACAATAACAAAGCAAAATAAATTACATTTACCTACTGGGTAAATTACTTTTCAGGGGAGTGGAGCCTTGATGTCAGTTGAAGGTCTTGGTAATAAAGGTAATGAATCTGGTGTAAATCTAGTTTAAACATCAAGAACTCAACTATTGTGCTTCATCAGGTCCGTGCTTGTGGTTTGATCAGATGTGATTGGCCGGTTCATCCCACCACGTGCAAACATTGATACATTTCACAGTTGGGAGATGCTGATAAAAAGAAAATGCTATCAGGACATTTCAAAATATCCCCTTACCAAAATCCAAAGACATGCTCTGGGGATCAGGTTAATTGGGGACTTTAAATTGCCCGTAGATGTGTGAATGTGAATGGTTGTGTGTCTCTGTGTAGCCCTGCGATTGGCTGGCGACCAGTCCAGGATGTACCCTGTCTATGGCCCGAAGTTGGCTGGGATGGACTCCAGCCCCCCCGCGACCCTGTGTGCAGGATAAGCGGTTTGACAATGGATGGATGGACCTTTCCAAATGGAAAAAAATAAATAGCACAACAGTTTATATGTAGTATCCTAGCGTCGGAGGAGATGCGTGTGCTAAGCAGCACAACAGACTAATAATCTTGATGAGTAATGAGTGTTTGTACGTGTGAAGGTGTTGGAGAGGTTCCACTCGGCTTCACCTGAGAACGATGAGGAAGCGCGAGTGCCTTCGGGCGCCCCCGAGGCGAGCCGGAGCACGCCGCTCTGTAGGTAGAGCGCGACCGCGGCGTAAAGCCACGCGGCCCCAAGTTCACCGATCAACGTCAAAATGCTTCCACACTGTCGAAATCAGACCATTTAATTATTTATTTATTTTTTAAAGCTGATGTCGTCAAAGCGAGAGCAGCCTTTTTTCGAGAGTAATCCCAGGTCGGTGCCATGGCGAGGTCTCGTTTGGCGGATCCGGGTGCTGGCGAGCGAGCCGCCCGGGTCCGTTTGCTTGCTGGAATGAGAGCGCTTCTCAGAATAGCCGATGGCAGATGCCGTCCAACTCTGTGTTACTCTGAGCCCAAGGACAATGAATTCCAACCTCCTGCCGTCTACAGTGGTCCTTACTTCAGAGGAGGGCTTAATGTGCGAAATCAGACGTTTTTTTAATTTTTATATTTTTAAATCAACTGTTATCAGCCTTCTGTGTGTGTTCAACGAATGGGGTTGAATGAGTCAAGGTAACTTCAAAAAGGAAAAGAAGGTTTTAGAGCATGAAGGTAACAGCAGCCCTTCTGGTTAACACGCGGGGAAAAAAACAAAGCATTTCTCTTTCTATATCAGGTCTTTAATGCGACATCATAGGTGAGGTCATATGTAAGCTCGAACCTTTATACCTGAGACGCTTCACCATTTTGATTGAGATTCACTCGTTCATGATTCACGATGGATCGGATCCTCAGTTTACTGCATTACTGAACATGGCTACGTCATCCACGCCGCTTTAACTTCTACTTATCCAATATTCAAAACCAATAACTAAAAACATATATACAATAATAATAAATAAATCCTGTTACAGAGAAGAAGAATCAATTAATGGTACTTAATAAAAACAGCACATAAAAATCTGACTTTAGGTCTGTTTGACAAGCGACTGAACCCCACCTGTCACTCAAATTCAGTATTGTAGAACTGCAAAATGAGATTAACGTTTGCCCCTTTTTTTCAAAATAAAACAAAAGGAAAGTTAGCAGCAGAGACAATGATGCTAAAATTGAACGACGCACAATCCAAACACTGACGCGGCTGAGGTGATTTCAAGGTTTCGAGGACGGGAAAGAGTTGGTTTTGAATTACGAATAGTGAAAGACAAGCAACACCTGAGCCGCCATAAGATGATCCGAATCGGTAGCAGCGGGATCAGGAGCCGTATCAAATCTCCCTGGTGGTCACGAAGCCGTCAAAGAGACAAAAGCTGCATTCAAAGGGAACAAGAACGTCCTCTGTGGAACCAGGAATATAATCTTGGAAATTAGTGGTAAATAAACTGAATTAAAAAAAGCATAAGAGTAAGAGCGTTTAGATACAATTCAAACCGCACATTTTATAGCGTGTTTGACTAAAACACTTGGGAAACGTACCAATTAACAGAAGAAAAAAAAAAAAACTCACATTTGCTCAACACAGACAAAGGAATAAAACAGTAGATAAAACACCAAATGTGCAGACAAGATGACAGGAAACCCTGAGGCTTTACTTCAAACTCCCCAAAGGGAGGTTTGCCACACACCCTCAACACCTGCTCAGGCAGCAGATGCATCTTGCCGGTGGCCGTTGATGCAGACATAGCTGCGATGGGCTGGTCCAGATCGCCTTACCCAACAGCAGGGCGCGGTGGGCGAGGAAAAGCAATACCGCAGCTGAAACGTCCCCGCTGTTAAATGTCCTATATATCTTGATCGCTATATCCCGCAAACAGCTGGATACTCGTTTTGGCTCCCGGAAATACGGTTTGGGCTTCTCCCCGGGTCACGGTGGGATTGGAAATTCAACCCGGGTGCGTCTAGTGGAAGTGGGAGAAGCGCACGGAAAGCTCACATGTCAACGTCCAAATGAATGTTTTTAATTTATGTTTCTAATTTAAACACTTGGAAGGAAATGGGGAAATGATAAATTAGACAATGAAAGCATCAAAATATGTGTGGTAGTTTTGGGCAACTTCGGCTTCAGACCGTAGGGACATTCCAGCGTTATAGTTCACTGCAGACAGCTGACGCCTGTTTAGCAGAGCCTCCGCCATTCAGCCAACACACTTCATAAACAACCTTAAAGCTCGGGTTCCCCCCTCCCCCCCACCACCACCACCACGCACTGCGGAGCTTCCTGGTGTGCCTCATTTTTAAGCATGAAAAGCAAATTATCAAAACGCAAGAGGTTTCCTGAGCACAAACACGGATGCCTTCGTCTCACCAGCGAGCTTCTCCCCGGTTCTTCTCTCTGCGACACTCGAACCAATTAGCATCCTGACAGACCTCGTCACCGCTGCTCCCGATAGCGCGCCACGCAAAACGTTTGGCAGGTGCGGAATAAGGCTGTCGACAAGAGTCTATATTTATGTATTTTATTGTTTTACATATTCAAAGATGAGATGGGGTATATTTGTGAGGAAAAAGCAGCGGGACAGCGGCTGTCTACCATAAGCGCATACAAGGAGGAAACAAGGAATTCACTGAGAGACTGAAGCTGCAGCAACTGAAATAAAAATACATTGTCTTTGCGGTTACTTCTTTTTACCTTTATGGTTAGTTTTTTCCATAATTATTGTATTCTCAACCATCAAAAGAATATATTTTTAAAATTGAATTAAATTATTCATTTATTAATTTTTGCTGGTAGAAAAGAAAATCTGTCCAGTCAATTTTCTTATTTTACCATCCAGAAGATGGCCGGTAAACTGAACCCCCCCCCCATCGTTTTGGACCCCACCAACCAAAACCATAAACCAAAGACCAAACAAATCATGGCAGTAAAGACCAGAGCTTTTGATGCTTGATACGACTTCTACATATAAAAGGATACAGGCCGTATCCAAATATGTACCGAAAAGATATCAGGGATTATTCTTAACGTAGAAGGGAGGTGCAACAAACACCCTCAAACAGCGTTTTATTTGATATTATTGCTTGTATCAACAAAGATTTGACTGAACCGTTATTTAAAGAAACCTCCTGGTCCTCCGCTATCCTTTGAAACTGCTGTTTAACTGCTGAATAAACAGCACTAATTTAAACTATCTCTATTAGAGACCCTTTGTTTCATAAAGCGGGTCAACACAGCGTCCTATGAGAAGAACACGCCGACACGTCTCCGTCATTGGGACAGCTTCCTTTATTTCTATTTTAGTCTGATATTTTAACAACCTCTCTTCACTGCCGCTATTCAGCTCTATTTTCTGTCAGACTGGAGTGTCGTGATTTAACTGCCTCTTTATCTTCAGTGACATTAAAGAAACTGTCAACGCCGCCGTAATTCAGAGGTCAAGTGCACCCGTAGAAAAACAGTTGTAGTTCTCAGCGTGATATTTAATTAAAAACAAGGTATTTCAAAGACATTATAAGTGGGTTGGTTAACTTAGTATTTTCTATTGAAAATAAATATTATATTTGTGTTTATTTTACATTTTAGGACTAATGGATTGGAAGATTAAATTATTTTTTTCTGATTATTAAAGATAATGATCTAACATGAAAACGTTTTTGTGTTACTTATTCCATAAACTGCAACAGAGGAATGTTGCATTTTACAGGTTTAATTTTCTCAACAATTAATCCAAGCATGTTTTTTTTTTATCTCTTTAAAACATGACCTAAAAATAGGCTCATTGGACAACGGCCTTTTTAAGGTTATATCGTGAGTGTCATCAGTGAGGGGCGGAGCTGCGTCTCATTTGTTCATATTTATTCCTAGCGGTGTAAAAACTTATAAAAGTATAACCGCTTATATTCAGCCTCTTTCCAGGGGGTGTGGCCTTACATTGTCATTAAATATCAAGTAGAACATAAAACAGTAGTAAACACGTAAAATGTGACGTTTCACTGTGCAACATGACACGTGTACAACGAAAAGAAATAAAAGTAGCCAATGAGCTTCATCTTTGAATTACCTCTTTGTTAAAACAGCCGTTACGCAAAGCAACAACCTAGGGGGAGAGAGGGCGAGAGATGACCTTTGACATTTTTAGGTTCACTTGCTCAGCCGGACTCAACCCGGCCGAATGCGGACGATACTCACCCGTCTGCGACAGAAAGGCAAACCCTGTGCAATGATGTTGATGCTAAACATCTTGAGTACTTTCTGAGGGGGTAGCGGCTCCGCAGGCGGCTGCTTCTCCGGCGGCTCTCTGGACGAAGCCTTCTCTTTCCCGAAGGCGACATTTGGCATCTTTTTCCGGGCACCCGACGAGAAACGGGGAATGGGGCAATGCCTCAGCATTGCAAAGTAAAAAAATTAATAAATGGCCTTCTACCGGATCATACCGTGGTGGGAGCTCCCCCTGAAACCGGGCCGACAAGCGCCGCGAGCGGAGAACCTCTCTCACGCGAACCCTTCCTCCGACGTCTCAATGCTCCTACCTACTCGCAACTCACCTCCCCGCTGACTGGCACCCTTTAAAATATCTCTGAGGCGTGAGGTCACCGCTGCGCCCGAGCCAGCTGCCGTCAGGCCCCGAAAAGAGGAGGCATAAGCCCCTCCCCTTTCTCTCTCGTCTCCCCCCCCTCTGCTTCCTCAGACGGGCACTGGGGAATCTGCTCTCATGACCCCTCGGGGGCGGAATGTGAACCAGCCGGGTTCTGACGCAGCCCGAGAGTCCGAGGGGGTGGGGGGGCTTCCTCATGCCCCCCCCCTCCTCTTGTACCTCCTAACTTGGTGGACCACATCATCACTGAGCCCGGTAAACTTCGGGTCATGAAAGCATGTCAGCATACAACGAAACTCCTTGTGTCTTTGAGGCCCGTCCGTCGGGGCCAAGTGTTGAAGCCGGGGATTTGTTTCACGCCACTCTTCTCCGACCCCCCTCCCTCGACCCGGAATGTCAGTAACTCTGTCCATGTCAGCAGAGGGGCGGCGGGTATTTCCGGAGACGACCCCACCAAAGTCCTACGTCAGTACGTGGGACGCAGGCATTTAAAACAACAACGACTCACTGGACCAAGTATCGAGACGGATGGACTTCTGACATTAGTTCTAGGCAGAGTATGTTCGATACGCAGTCCCCCCCCCCTTTAAACCTTAACCCACAAAGGAGGCACCAGTGAAGTGCGGCTATAAATGTCTACTGGCGGCAAAATTATGAATGCAGATTAATGCCGATTCCCACAGAAAATAATGACGCGGCAGAAAACCGCTGACAGCGGCGATTACGTACCAATCTACGCAGAGAGGCAAGAGACGGCCTTCCCCCGAGTGGTAACACATGGCAACAGGCGCACCTACAGCGGCTTAACCGCTCTTCTATTCTCACATCCACCATTGTTTGAAGAGGATTAAGGCGCCGTAACATCTATCAGAGCAGACCGAGGGCCGCCGGAGCGCCAATAGAGCGCCGGGTGGTGGAAGCGCTACCGGCCGTAGCTTCTAACGGTGCGTTCAGGACAATTGGAGAAAAGGTTGGCGCCTCGCCGGCAGCTGCTCGGGCCAATTGAACAAACGGCAGAGGCTGATGACGAGAGGTCTGACTCAACACGAGCGTGGACAGATAAGTAGTGACGTGGCCCATTCAGTGGAGCCTTTCCTTATGGTCCCTTTCCAGTCCTCCACAAGGACAAAGTGGCGAGCGAGGACAAGCTCTTATAAGTAAATCGCATTTGCAACATCGCAACATTTGTTTCACAAGCTTCTATTGAGACTCAATCGATTCGTGGTAGTGAAAATATTGTGTGGAATTAACTTTTGCCTTGAATTTTTGGATTCAGAGACGGACGCTACAGTCTGGTAGTTTGATGATGTACTAAAAACCGCGATAAAACCAGAAAAATAATAAAATTAGTTTACAAAACTGCTGCTTCAGAGTTAATGGGAGACTTGGTGAATGTTTGTAGGACTAAAAAAGGTAATGTGACCGTAGCACGAGAGCAGAATGTACATCAGCCTACTGTGCGCCCACGCACGTCAGCAGTGACCCGGCTGCAGTGTTTGCAGTGGATTCACATACAAAACTCTTTCAAAACAACTCCGACACGTACGGAGAGCCGTGTCTCTCCTCGTACGAGGAAATAAAAAAGCTTTTAGAATTTCAATCACTTAAACCGATTGACTCACAATCATTTCACATTTTCTCTTTCAGGTTTGCAAACCTCTTTTATTTTGGACGACCGTCCGCACGCAGCCTGTGAATGGCGGCATCTCACTGACCCGGCCATCGTGGATGTTACTTGAGCTTTCGGACTAATCTTAGGCCTTAAAGCCATGTGACACTCGCCGGTCCAGTCTGCTACAACATGATCAGCACAAAGCAACTTGCTAAATGGAGCCATGATATTCACCCGTGGAACCTTTGCAATGCATGGAAGGATGATCTGGGAAACAAGGGAATTGAACATTTCTATGACCAAGAAGATGAGACAAAATGGGAGAAACTTTGCGGAATAAGCATGTTAAAAGATCCATAGTGCAGAGCTACAAACCGACACCAATAAGTCAGCAGCTCTGTTTATGGTCTTCATACTATGGTATGAACAACGCTATTGAAGCGCTACATGTCTGCTGTGCATTCGCCTGCTTTCTCTGGGCCACAGTATCACTGGCTGGTCATTGAGTTTACAGCCCTTACAGTGCCAGAGGTCAAGAATGTTTGGCTTCCAGTACGGCGGTACACTTACAAATCTCCCCCTGCTTTTCAGCGCGATTGAGATGCCAGCGTCAGTTTGCTGGTGGTGGGGACCCTGCGGGAGCGGGGGCACTGTAGGACGCCCCGGGCTGCTTGAAAGTTATTAAAGTTCAAACTAAATAAAAGCTCTTGTGGTACTAAAAGAATGGCTGCAGACTAAAAGACTGAGAAGCATCGTCGCTCAGGCAACAAATCCAAACACATGGAGATACGATCATTTGGCTTCTCCAAGCACGAGTAAGTAAAAACAGTGTTCCAAGTTTCCCGTTTTTACTGCCGGTCGAATGAGTCACAGCTGCTTATTAAAAGCTCTAAAACACTATTCCGACTTGTGCACCGGATGAGCAGACCTTTGCGAGTGGACTCCGATGACATTAAACTAAATTATATATAGCGCACATCAACGATACGTTAATTTAGGTATGAACCTAAAAAGGTGCAGTGAAGTATTATTATTTAAATACTCGTATATATGGATACGAGTAAAGCTTTCTAGCTCATAATGACTTTTGAAAGAGTCCCTTTCAAAAACCTGTGCCAAACATCAACTGCAGCGAGTGAATGCATGAAACCTCCCTAGCCCCCCCCCCTGCTGCTCCGACGTGAGCCGGGCGCAGACTGAGCACAGCTGGGACAAGCACCCACAACCTGTGTGTCCCGGATCATTGTAGGTGCACGACTCCGCAGACCACCGGCGCCCTCTGCTGCTGCGGACCGGGACAACGACACCACGCGGCTGAATCCCCCCCGAATATGACAACATCCTGCTGGAAGCCTGCTTTTCAGGATCTGACGGGCGCGGTGCCACGAACACACACCTGAACGCCCCCTTTGAGTCAGAAATGCAAACACATTACAACCAAACTAGGTTTAATGTGACTGTACGCTGCTGTGGAGGGGCAAATCCTTTTGTTGTGACCTTCTAACGCAGAAAAAAGTAGCTGACGAAAATAAAATAAAAAATCCTGCAGGAGCGGTGGACACACACACACACACACTCATGTGTGTAACAACAGAACAGCGCTTTTTGTTATTCCAAGAATCATTTGAGCAAAGCCTACCAGAGGCAATTATCCAAGTCTCAGCGACGGGGGGATGTTGACAATTCGCACACTCGGATTTGAACAGAAAACTAGGAAACTTCGTCTCAGGCGGCACGGAAGACAATTAGCGGCCGATCTGCAGCAGAATTAGATGACGCAGAAATAGAAAGCGCATGGCAGCAAGTGGGGGGCCAGGGAGGGATTACCTCCCGTCGGCTTCTGCTTGTGAGCCCGCGGTTTATATACACACCGGTGGGTTATTAGCATGATGTCGACGTGGAAACTTCAAAACTTGCATCATCTTTGAATTTATTGCTTTTCTGAATGCATTAGTAACATGAAACTGAATCAACATGACGCAGAGGCAGCTGTGGTAAACGATCTCCCCCTTCGTATTTTCGGTCAATATAATATATGTATTGGCGGTGACTCAACGGAGTTGCGTTCACGTGGGAGGATAAGAACACTGGTGCTTTGTGGCTCACTCCTGCCTGCGTGACGAGGCTAGCGTGTGGGAGACGCCACCTACAATAAGCCGGCTGTCTTTCCCTCAGAAAAAGACGTGTGTGAAGAAAAGTGGAGCAAATTGTCCAAGTTTTCCACGGTAAAGTAAACAATTTGCCGGATGACTTAAGACTGGAATATTTGAATATATAAACCTGTCCACATATTGAACAGCCTGGAGTAGAAGTCTACAGGAGGTCACCGCGTACCAAAGGCCGTTCACCAAGAAGCATTAGAGTCCGACCTTTAAACCTCCTTACATCAATATTCAAAAGGTTAACGGCCTTTCTGAAAAGAGATGACAAAGAATCCTACACAGGGGAAGATTTAAAAACAACACTCAGACGTCTGAAAAGAATCAGTTATTTGTTTTTGATTAAGAAACTGAGCACACTTTCCCCAGTGCAGCGTAAAATAATTTGATATCTAAATTGCAAATCTAAAAGTTGTTTCAGTGGAACAGTTAAACACAAAAATGGGAACATCTGCTGTTTTGGAGAGAAAAACAATTCATGCAGTAGAAACGGAGAGTGGAAGACGGTCAAAAAATCTCCAGCTTACGGACAAATAAGACAGCAGCTTACATGTTTCGTGTGTGTGTGGTCGGGGGAGCAGAGCTACACGAAGTAGATTTGGTTGAATGATTTCACAATTGCTGTAAGTTCTCATGGGGCTTCTGTAACGACGGCCGATTCATTCTGCTACCGTTTCCTCCCTGAACATTACGCCACAGTATGCGGCGTAATGAATGCTTCCAGTTCTTAAAGGATGGCTTTGCCAAATCGCCGATGCCACCCACCTGGCAAAGACATGAAGCCGATTGTAAATCAGCCAAGTCAGCCTTTGAGGAGAGAGTGTTTTACATTATAGCAGTGGGATCATTAACACGTTTAAGTAAACATCTACTCAAAAGAAGATATAAAATGTAACACCTTAAATCCCCCCCCCCCCCCCCCCCCCATCTGCTATCGTTAAGTAATCTGCTCTCCCAAAGGCAAACGTATACGACGCACTCAACACCCGCTTCAGATGCTCCCTCGTGTTCACCCAACACCGTGTATTCTGCCATTCAACGCGTTCGAATGTCACACGACGCCCTTCTTGGAGCCCTCGAATAGAACGGCATCCGAGGTGGAAATCTAAATGACGTTCAGATTCAACCCCAGGACGTC